TCGGGCATGGGGCTCGTGCTTGGAGGGCGGAGTTCCTCACTGGTCACGCAGACGCTTCTTGGGCTGACGACCAGGCTACGCAGCGGTCGTCACAAGGTTACACCTTCAGCCTTGGCTCCGGCTCTGTTTCGTGGCGGTCTACCCGCTCGTCTTCTGTTCTCGGCTCCAGCTGTGAGGCTGAGATCTACGCGGGGGCCATGGCTGCACAGGAGCTACGCTGGCTCACCTACCTGCTGACTGACCTAGAAGAGCTGCCTCGTTCTCCTCCAGTTTTGTACGTAGACAACAAGGCCATGCTGGCCTTGTGTCGGGAGCACAGACTGGAGCACAGAACGAAGCACATTGCTCTTCGCTACTTCCTTGCTCGTGAGCTGCAGCAGCGTGGTCAGCTGCGCCTTGCTTACGTGGCCTCTGAGGCCAACACTGCTGATATCTTTACCAAGGCACTTCCGCCTTGTGATCATCAGCGCTGCTGTACGATGCTAGGTCTTGTGCCTACTTGGCCTCAATTGCTCACTTCTTGACCTTGCTTGTACTGTGATCTTTCTATACCTGCACTTGCTTGTTTACCTTTATATATGATCGTGCATGTGAACTGGCCTTGTTGCCTTGAACTTGTGCTCGGAATTTGTAGTGACGTTGTGATCCACCCTGACCTTGCTGTGCTTTGCTTGACTGATCTTGTGACCTCTTGTTCTCCCCCACTTTGCCTATGGGGGTGTGTCAAGCATATATGCTATAGTCTGTGTAGGCTGTTGTGGGGTAGATAATATGGGGTACAACACTTTTAGGTTTTCCTACTTGTACCCACCTGTTTCCTAGTGCACTCATTCCTCATTTCTTCACGCAATAATCTCAAAATTTGAAAGCTTTCATAATAGATATTGGAAGAGCTTATACATATGTTCACTTAAATCCCTATCTAAATCATAGGTTGGTGTAAGGATCTTTCTCGATATTCCTTAACACACCTTGCAACATCACGTACAGCAGCAGCTGTTGTTCGCCCGTTACTGCTAACAGGGCTTTGCCGACTTTGCGCGCACTGTTTCATCAAACCTCGCACTGCTGGCCTGGCCGTATCGGCCTACACTTCGGGACTAGCCCGAACCTCGCTTCCAGCATAGCACTAGCTAGCTCGCACGCACCGCGTTACCGTTTGCATGTTTCGCGTATAAATGTTCGCTCATGCCTTCGCTCACATTTTGTGCTTGTCTGACACCTTAGTGCAATTCTCGCTACTTCGATTCATTGCACCTGTAACACTTGGTTATCGGAGCCTCTTTCTTTTCGGGCCGCGCATCTCCGCACCCTAGGAAGTCAACTTTTGATTTTTCACTCGAAGGGACTCACGCACCTTAGCACCTAGGAGCCGCTGTCCTCGCGTTCTCTCGTAAACGCGTGCAGCCACGTCTGCGCCTAGACTAAGACGAGCTGACGCCCTTCGGAATGGCAGAGCATATTGAGGTCACTAACCTTACGCAGGACCGCCTGGACGAGTTGCTGCGACAACTGCACGAAAACTCCGAAGAAATCGCGGCGTTAACGGCGGAACGTACCTCCCTGCAAAATGACATCGCACGAGCACAATCCCAAGCACCTGGCACTCCGATTCAGCCCGCACCACAGACATCACAACACGGAAATGTGGGGCAACCCGCAAGCGCCGCAAGTGATGGCGTCGTCCGCCATGACAGAGACGACGACCACAGCACGACACACCCCGACGCAACGAATGCGGCCAGGAATCGGCCTCGAGTCACTATTTCGGTGCCGGCTGATGAATCAACCTTACCATCGCCGATGCCGCTGAAGCCGCAGCGTCCGCCATGCTTTGACCCAAGTCAGTGGGGTGGTCCTACCGTTCAGGCGTGGCTCTTCACGTTGAACGTTTTTTTCGACGCGAACTACGTCTCGGAGGATACGGCGAAGATTCGATACGCCATGTCGTTGCTGCGAGGACCCGCCATGGACTGTTGGCGTGTCATCGTCATGAAGCTGGTGGACTACGCGACTCTACCGACACGGGAAGGACAAACCGGACCCTAGGCACTGTCGTATTTCATGGAGGTGCCCCAGTATCGCACGTGGGACGCGTGGTGCGCAGGTCTGCGCGCTCGTTTCTAGCCAATTGCGGCTTCAATCGTGGCGCGACAGAAGCTCCGCACTTGGCGCCAAGTCGGTTCCGTCCAAGACTACACGAGTGGATTTCTGGCGCTATGCGAACAGGTGGGATACATGCATGAGAGCGAGCGCATCGACCGCAACATCGGCGGCCTGAAGCAGGACACCGCTCAGGAAATCCAGCTTCCCGGCGTCACCGATATTCAAGAAATCCTCGCCTTGGCGGAGAAACTCGACTTCTTCCGCCAACCGAGACCGGGGTCCTACGGAAGCAGAAATTGGGGACATCGGCCTCGTGGGACGAACGAGGGCGCTACGATTGTCAGAATGCTGTATTTGTCTAGCCTGTAGTGGGGTACTCTATAGCGAGTACAGCCCAACTTAGGGTTTCCTATATGTACTCAATTGCTTGCTACTGCAACTTCTCTTTCAGTTTCTAACTTTCTGCTACTATTTCTGACAACGATACGTGCCGTTGCCGCAAATGCAGCTGCCGCACCGTTCAAAGGGCGCTGCTTTGCGTGTAATCGGCCGGGACACCGCAAGAGTGAATGCCCGGAAAATGCTAAGGGAAAGGGGGAAGCTGAGCAGTAGAAACAGACCAATCAGCAGGGAAACGCTGGGAGTCTGTAGCAGACGGGCCCTCTACTAACAGGTCACGCCGCTCGCCCGACCCAACCGACCCACACCGAGTGATTGTGCCGGTCGACGCAATTGACCACACCCGGCCGAATAAGGAGGGTACTATGGTAGACCAACGTACAGCACCACGTGGGCTCGTGTCCTACGTGTGAGGTGTGTAAGTAGAGCTACACTGTGAGATCCCCGATCGATCCTAGGGGGGTTTACAGGCGCGGTTGCCTGGGGGGTTATGGGCGCACTGACCCGCTACTGAAACAAGCCCTTTTATCCCAATGGTCTAGTGGTTGGGATTCTGACATGGTATCAGAGCAGTCTCGGGTTCGAATCCCGGTGTATGCACATGTAGGCCGTTGCCACTGTGCTCAGTCCTGGACCTCCCAGTGTGGGGGGGTGTCAGTAGAGCTACACTGTGAGATCTCCGATCGATCCTAGGGGGGGTTACAGGCGCGTTTGCCTGGGGGGTTATGGGCGCACTGACCCGCTACTGAAACAAGCCCTTTTATCCCAATGGTCTAGTGGTTGGGATTCTGACAAGGTGATGAAGAGCTCGCGAAGGCGGGTCAGTTGTAGCCGATTCCACCGCCTGAGCGCGCCTGGCAGCAGGTTACCATGGATTTCGTCACGGGGTTACCTTTGAACCATGGGGGTAACGACGCAGTTATTGTCGTCATTGACAGGTTGACAAAGATGGCACACTTCGCTGCGTGCAAGAAATCGATCTCAGCCGAAGAAACCGCTCGCCTGTTCATCGCAGCCGTCGTTCGACTGCACGGGATACCAGCCGCGATAATCAGCGACCGCGACACGAAGTTCACCAGCAACTTCTGGAGAAACCTCTGGGAGCAGTTCGGGACAAGGCTGCAGTTTAGCTCGTCATACCATCTCGAGACCGATGGTCAAACGGAGCGGACCACTTGGGAGCAGCAGCTGTCGCTGATCGAGTTCGCGTATAACAACGCCACGTCAGCGACGACGCAGCAGTCCCCCTTCTACCTGAACTATGGGCAAAACCCTACAGTGCCCATGACGCCGAGTCCGGACAACCCAACGCCACGCGCACAACAATTCGCCGAAATTCTGCAATCTGTCCGCACCAGAGCCGTAGAAGCAATTAAAAAAGCCAACGTCATCGCTAAGCGCAACGATGACCGCCACCGCCGCCAAGTCACGTACCAGTCAGGAGACTACGTACTGCTCGACACACAGAACCTAAGACTGCTCGTCGTACCGAAATTGCGACCCCGCTACTGTGGACCATTCCAAATCAGCCACATGATTACCCCAGTGACAGCTCACCTACTGTTGCCGACGGACTGGTACGTCAGCCCTTCGTTCCACGTCAGCCTGCTTCGCTCATACATCCCAACCACAAGCCAACGGCCTCGTCACCGCCCGCCATCCATGACTCGCCCTACATCGGAGCCGACCATCGAGCCCGAAAAAATCATGAGCCATCGGATTCGACACCCCACGGGAATCAAGAGGATTGAATTCCTCGTTCGCTGGAAGGACCGCACGCCAACTGAAGATAGCTGGGTGCCCCTGGCCAACATCGAAAACCACCCTGCCCTGCAAGTGTACCTGAGGAGCCGGGGTTTCCGCGATATACATGCACTCGCGAAGTGGAGGGGGCTTCTTGAAGGGGGGGGGGGGGTAGTGTAAGGAATTTTCTCGATATTCCTTAGCGCGCCCTGCAACATCGCGTACAGCAGCAGCCGTTGTTCGCCCGAAACTGCTAACGGGGCTTCGCCGACTTCGCGCGCACTGTTTCTTCAAATCTCGCACTACTGGCCTGGCCGTATCGGCCTACGCTTCGGGACTAGCCCGAACCTCGCTTCCAGCATAGCACTAGCTAGCTCGCACGCACCGCGTTACCGTTTGCATGTTTCGCGTATAAATGTTCGCTCATGCCTTCGCTCACATTTTGTACTCGTCTGACACCTTAGTGCAATTCTAGCTACTTAGATTCATTGCGCCCGTAACAGTTGGACTTACATTCTACGGTGTAGACATTACATTATCCAACCGTGCACCAGGAATATGCTTTCCCTGCTCTTTGATTGCTTGGCGGGGCACTTTCGATGTCTGCAATCGCTCGAGTTGATGTAGGTCCAACCGCCATAATTTCTACCCTTTTGACGCTCTCTGCCTGTAGCGGCTTAGGGCTTTCATTACCTAGCACCCTCTGTCGTTCTTAGAACCCATTGTCTTTACACGCACTTCCGTCAGCAGCCATGTTGGTCTATCAGGATCTGATCTCTGGTACGTCTTTTATATCGGTTGTCGAGTTCTCATACATACACAGATTTTTTTTTTTTTTTTTTTTTTTTTTTTCTAATATGACAATTCGATTTTCCTTGATGTGTCATGCGCTAAAACATTAGGTGACGAGCTGCTGTCCGACTCCTTTGAGGCCAAGGAGATCCAGAACGGCATCTTCTATGAAGTCGAGGGGAAGGTGCGATCTGAATAAAAAAGCTGCTCTTTGACAGCACCCACTGGACCCGTGTCGCTAACTTTGCTGTCGTCGTTTGGATGATTCTGCAGTGGGTGGTAAAGGGTGGTATTGAGGTGGACATCGGAGCCAACCCCTCTGCTGAGGGTGGCGAGGAGGAGGCTGTGGAGGAGCAGTCCGAGAAGGTTGTGGATATCGTCGACACCTTCAGACTACAGGCACGTCCACAATACCCGTTTACAATTTACGAAATTAGGGTTAAACAATCTAGGTTAAGCTTTCATGCAATTGACATCGTCACCTTCGTCTACGCAAATAATTGGTAGCTGATCCCATCGTTGCATCCTCACCTCGATGGTTTCTCAAATGCAGGAACAACCAGCGTTCGACAAGAAGGCGTTCGCCGGTTACCTGAAGGTTTACGCCCAGAAGCTCGCCGGCCTGATGCCCGCTGAGAGGGGGACGCAGTTCAGGGCGGACTCGCCTGCCGCTTGCAAGTGGCTCATGTCCAAGCTCGCTGATCTGCAGTTGTACGTTTTAAGCCTGAAACTTCTCCGACTCCCTTGTCTTTTCCTTTTCCTTCCCCGTCCTCACCTCCCCCCCACGCTCCCCCTTCCCTTACCACGTTCTCTTTCTTAGCCTCAAAGTCATCAGGTCGGTGTTCTTGACTTATTTCCCTCCAATTTCTAATGCATTGCCTGATGGTTTGGTGCAGCTTTGTTGGTGAGAGCCTGAACTTTGAAGGCTCGATCGTTTATGCTTACTACAAGGATGGTGCTACCAACCCCACTTTCATCTATTTCAAGGATGGTCTGAAGGAGGTCAAGGTCTAAAGATGCGTTTTGTCTGTCCAATGTGGCTCCAAATTTAGTGACATTTTTCTTGCAGACTGGTCTTACAGTTTCAAATATGGTTTGCACAGTAGCCAGAAAGCCTTGCTTATGGCTCAGGCGACAGGCTAGACTTACCAAAAACATGAGGGAATAGGGTTACAACTTATAATTTGAGCAGGCTGACATTCTCTGTCTCTGGACGCTCCAATCTATCCTGTAGCCCGCGTTCCCAGAGGAAGCTCGATCACGCGGTACAAGTACTGTACCGGTAGATTGACGATGACAGGACTTGCGGCTCGCTTATCACACGGGTGGGAAAATGCAGTGGTGAAAGGATCCCGCAAGAAAGTTGAACCGCGCCGCACGAAGATTGCTTCACACAAAACCGAACTGAACACCCTCCAGCGTTCCCCTCCAGCCTTCCCTCCAGCATTCCCGAATCCCATCCCGAACACCCCAGCGGAATCAGGTCGACGGACCCGAATTGCCGGTGTCGTCGAGGGGGGTCGTCGAAGCCTGGGCCGACGGGGCGGAGCACTGACGCGCGTGCGGGCCCGCCAGCCTGGCCCAGGGCTGGGCCGAGCGCACGACCGCCGCCCCGCGGCCCCGCCCCGAACGTGAACAGCGGCCCACGTTACCGGGTGGGGTCGGCGAACTGGCGACACCTCGCGCGTGGGAAAATTACCCTCGCGCGAAGGCAGCCCACGCGCGCCACCTGCCCGCGACGTCCTAGTAACCCATCGCGGCCTGCCCGGACGGGCAGGCGAGGGCCGGGCGAAAAGTCGGGGCCCCCTCGGGACGCTCGACAATTTCGCGACCCGTTGCGGCGACGCCACGTGTTCGCCCGCCTGCTTCGCATCGGGCAACATGCAGAATTTGATACATTGCGAACTCAATTCGGGACATCGCGAATTCGATGTCGATCGCTTCGCGGCGCACGTTTTTCGCTTCGGGGCGTGACATCGACTTGCTGGCTCGGCGGCGAACGAGGACTTGTGCCACTTGTGGAGGACTTGTGCCAAACCCCGCCGAGGCAGGCACCACGAGGGCCGGGCGATGCCTCGACCGTTCCTGTGGGGCACCGACCCCCTTTTCTTGGTGGAAGGGGGCATAGCTCCTCATTTTCGGCATCTCGTTTCCCTTTCCACCTTTTCCCCAGCTCTGCGCCTTCTCCCACATTTCACGTCCCTTAGCCGCTTCCCTTCCCCGCCATGTCGGCCGCCACGAAACTCGGCGAAGTGACGCCGACTTCGCAGGACTTCCCTCTGTATCTCGACCTGGGCAGTGGACTGACTGCCAAGCTCGACGAACACGACTACGCCGTCCTCGTAGACCATAGGCTAGAGTTCAACGCCCGTTGCTTGGGATTCGGCCTCAAGTGAGTGTCCGTATTGGGATGTCGACGTCGACCGCTGGATACCTTGCAGGTCGACGTCGATAGGGTTGTCCCACGTTAGGGTTTAGATCACTACTCGGTGACGCACGCAGCCGTAGGTAGGCATCGTACTCCGATCACTACAGTAGGTCGGTGCCCGCATCGGTAGGCGCCATTGATTACAACGTAGCGACGGTGGTGCACCGTTCTACTCTAGCCATCCCCGTCAGTTGTCGGTTCCAGAACCCACGTGTCCATCCTGTCGTGCCGTGCACGTCCTCAAACACATCTACTACCCATGCATGCGTGCAGGTACGCATGGATTCGCGCGGCGCCGGCCAACATGCGATTGTGGTCGATAGGACTCGGCCGGCTTCGGGCGGCGATGGGCAAGGAAGACCACTCATGCTTTGCAACGGTGTTCGACGCCGACGTAGCTGTTATCCCTCTGCATTCGAGGTGAGCCTAAGTCATGATGGTGTGCCTTGATGCCTTATGTCGCTGCTCCGTTCTGATCGACGTCGTGGTGCCTAGCCTGTGCAGCATCGCACCGCTTCCAGGGGCACATTGCAGCGTCGTGGTCATCCTGTACCCCGGCGACTTGTTGCGGGCCGGGGGAGAGACGATCAGGACCTCTGTCCGGCACCTCGACCCGCAAACCGTGAAGCAGTGGCACCGCGACGAGGCGATCCGCGTGCTGAAGTGAGCTCGATAGTGTAGTCGACGACGCATGCAATTTCGCCGCTGGGCGTTAAGCAAGTCTACTGACGATATGTGCCATGTTGCTTCAGGTTTTTCCGGGCGGCGGTGCTGGCCGAGCTCGGCCGCGATGGCCGGCACTGGGAGTGGCCGAAGCCTTCTGCTGAAGAGGTGGCGGCCAGGCTCGCCGACTTCAATGAACCCGTTCGAGATGTGAGTACCGATCGTTTTACCGTCCTAGCGCGATGCCATCGCCGCCGTCGGTGCTCATCCTTGCTCTCTCCTCTGTTGTTTGCAGAAAATGCGCGACACCGTCCGGGACGGCGACGCAGGCTCTGGCCTCCTCTCAATGAGCGCGCTGTGCTGGGTGGTGAAGAGGATGGATCGCCTGACCGGCGACGACCGTCGCAGTGCGACCAGCATGGACAAGGTCCTCGTTTCGGGGTTGAAGGAGCTGCGGATTCGGATGATGACATACATCAAGGAACACGTCGCACGCAGACGGTCAGGCCATGTCGGAGTTGGTGCCGATGCCTGTGAAGACGACGCCGCGGAGCCCCCTTCGGCATCCCAAGCAGTCGGTGTCGCCGACACCAGCGGAGAGGCCGGAGACGGCGTCGACAAGGCAGATGAGGAGGCAGAAAGGGCTGTGGCGAGGACCGCGGATCAGGAAAAGGAGGAGGAGGAGGATGACACCGACGATCAGGATGATAACGAGGAGGATCGTGAGGAGCGTGAGCAGGGGCATGGGCAGGAGGAGGAGGAGGAGGAGGAGGAGGAGGAGGAGGAGGAGGAGGAGGATGATGAGGAGGAGGAGGAGGACAAGGAGGCGGCGGCGGCGGAGGCCGTGGAGCAGGGTTTCGGGTCGGTGGAGCAGGTGGCGGAGGGGGAGAAGCAGCAAGAGGGGGAGGAGGAGGTAGAGTTCCCCTGGGTCGAATTCGAGATGGAGGATGTTGAGGGAGCGGCGGCGGTGGCCGTGGAGGGAGCGGCGGCGGCCGTGGAGGGAACGGGCGGGATGTCGGCGGATGTTGTGTACGTGCGAGGGGAGGGTGCCGATGTGGAGAATGTCGGCGTGGAGGAGGCGCACGTGGTCGGCAATGTGGTTGGCGACGCGAAGGAGGAGGATAACGTCGCGTCCCCGACGCCGACGGGCGTGGAGACCACCACAGGGAACGCAGGGGTGGAACGCCGGGGTGGAGCGGTAGAGGCGGGCCGTCAACCCGGTTCCTCAGCAGCTGGTCGGCAGGCAACGCCGGCCGTCGTCGCGCAGCTGCGACAGGAGAACATGTGGCTGAGGGCAGAAAATGCTCGTCTCGAGACGGCGCTCGGAGTGGAGAGGGGTCGGGTGGACAGGTTCGCGATGGGGATTGGCCACCTCGTGGACAAGCTCAGGTCGTTGGCCGACCAGGTCGCCGCCTCCGACCAGGACGCGTCGAGTCGGCTGATGGACGCGTCCTTGACCATGGCGACGACCGTGACGGAGAACATCACTGCCAACATGGGTGAAGCATGGGAGGCGATGAAGGCGTACGCCGAGAGGGCGGAGAGCTGGTTGGACGATCTAGAGAATCCGGAGGGGGTTATGGTGGTGCAACGTGCGAACGCGGTCGTCGCCCTGGGCAACCACGTGGACGAAGCGAGGAAGGGATTGGAGGAATACATATCGAAGCACCTAGTCGCCGCGCAGACCAACATCGCCGCCGCCGTAACTCAACGCGTCGCCGTCCCGCCGCCCACGCAGCCCGCCCCACCGCCAGCCTTCCCGGACGAGCTCATGAAGTCTTTCAAGGCGGACGTGTTGAAGGCGGTGACTGAGGCCACCCAGCAGTCGTTTGCTGCGTCCGGGTTAAACCTCATGACCCAGGTGATCGGCCATCTGGCGCCTGGTCGGCATGGGTCGTCGCCGTCGGACAACGAGGCCGACAAGAAGGGTGCGAAAAGGGCGGGCGGCGGAGATGATGCGTTGAGCTCGAAGCGGAGCAAGGGAGCCGATGGGAGCCGCGGCGTCGGCCAGGTGGCTCCAGGCGGCTCGCGGAGCAAGGGAGCCGATGGGAGCGGAGGTACGAGCGTGGTCGACCAGCTGAAGAAGAACGGGGCCAAGGTGATAAGGACGCACAGCAAGGGCGATGGAATCAGGAGTGCGGAGGGGGGGCCCTGCCGACCAGGTTGCCGCTCAAGAGGCTGGACCAACAGCCCCGCCATTGGTCGCCGAGAAGCCGGCCAGTCTAGCGACCGCACCAACGGCGATAGATGGCGGCGCCAAAACCGTCAAAGGACCGTCCGTCGGAGTGGCGGGGACCACGTCGATCCCCCGCAAACCCCCTGCGGCTAGCAGCGCGCCGGTCGCCCCGTCAGCCGCCAACAACGATGGGCCGTCCCTTGCGGCTACTCCAGCACCAGCAGGCACGTCTGCCGCCAAGGTTGACGCGGTGGATGCTGCGGCTAACCGCGCTGGTCCGTCCGCCCCAAAGACGAACGCGCTCAGGGAGATGCTCAGCCGCATGGAGACCCATCGACAGGACGTGCAGCAGCCTCCCGTGGTCGGCACCGCGCCGGCCACAACAGCACGTCGCTCGGTCACTCCCCAGGTCGCCGCCACAACGTCCAGTGCCCCACCTACCGCGCCTATCATCGCCGCCCGTCCTCCTGTGGACCCAAAGTCCGCGTTGCTTCGCGCCCAGTTAGGCGTACGTACTGCGGCTGCGCCGGCACGGGCTCAGCCGGTATCCAGCTCATGCGCGACGCCGACGTCGGTGACCGTAGCTGCACACACACTCGGTGCGGCTACTATCGAGGCGGTGGCGGAGAAGGGCGTGAGTGCAGCGCTAGCCACGGGCGGCAGATCAGTTGACCCTGCACAGGCGGCGAAGGACCACAACGACGCCGATATCGCTGCCATCCAGGACCTGTTGGAAGCGGTAAACCGCCCCAAGCATCCCCCTGTGCTGGCCATCTTGGACTCGGCGAGTCCCACCGGCTGTACAGCGGAGCCAAAGACGACCACTGCTGCGGTCGGCGCGGGAAAGTCGAAACGGAAGGGGACGGTCGATGCAGGGAAAGCGAGGCCGAGCTCGAAGAAGAAAACACGGGCGACGTCGGCGATGGTGAAGTCGGTGCAGAAAGGACAGGGGATGGCGACGGCGATGGTGGAGAAGGAGAAGAAGGAGGAGGAGAAGGAGGAGGAGGAGAAGAAGGAGAAGGAGAAGGAGAAGGAGAAGGAGAAGGAGACGGAGGAGGAGAAGAAGGAGAAGGAGGAGGAGGAGGAGAAGGAGAAGGAGAAGGAGGAGGAGGAGGAGGAGAAGGTGGAGGAGGCGGAGGAGAAGAAGCTGGAGGAGGAGGAGGCGGCGACGGAGGAGGAGAAGGTGAAGGTGAAAGAACGGAAGGGTCATGGCATCCGCCACGACTCGACGGGCGACAAGCAAGGGTGGGTGGGCGAGATCAAGGTGGTCGGGAACGAGAGCAGATACATCGGCAAGTCCCGCGACAAGATGGAGCTGGCGTACCTTCACTCCATTGTGTACCTCCTGTACGACGGTTTCGTCAGCAAGATCCTCATGGCCGAGCTCACCGGCCTGGAGGAAACAGTGATGAAGCAGTGGAGGGCGGTGTGGAAGGAAGTCCGGTTCTTGCCGACTGGGATGTGGACGGTGATCTGGGCAAGGGGCGCGTTCCTCCCAAGGACACGGTAAGTCGGATAAACGTCGGCCAAGCTATGATGTCGACGTCGGCGTTCCTAACGGCCAGTTTCGTGTGATTGCGTGACAGGTTCGACGACATCCTCGGGAAGTATAGAGCGTACAAGACATCAGGCGATGCGCACCACGACGCGCTTTTGCCCGCGATCTGGTTCCCCGTCGATGCCGACGGTAAGTCGGATGCAATGATGTCGGCCATGCTTGATCGCGTGTCCTTGTGCGCGGCGTATGGGGAGGTCGCTGCATCCGCGGCGAGAATGGAGGGCGACACCGATCAGAAGACGGCGAAGGTCGCACAGGCGCTGTCGGCCTCAGCTTGCGCACTGTGGTGCTTAGTCGAGGGCGACGGCGCCCAGGTGGCTGATGCCGTCCGCGAAGGGAAGGCGGCGACGATGTTGGTCGGCGCCAGCGAGGCTACCGCCGCCGAGTTCAAGAACGTCATGTCGGCGGTGCTGGAGGTGGCGATCAGCAGGCAGCAACCCCTTGGGGAGGTTGCGCACAACGTCGCACCGGCGCTTGAGTCCACCGCTCTGGCCAGAGCCTATCCGGGGTTGGATGTTGAACCCGAGGCCAAACTGATCGCACGAGCGACAGTGGAAACCCTCGCGTTCTGGGGGATGTGCCCCGTGGATGGGCCGAAACTCAGGAAGATCGGCATCGCGGTGCCGCTGGATGCGCAGATGGAGTACGACATCGAGCACAGGGGGAGGAAGAGGCCGAGGGGCAAGCAGGGCAAGGACAGCTCGGGGAAGAAGGGGAAGGGCAGAGCGGGCAAGGACAGCACGGCGGCGTAGTCGGCATAACAATCTGCCATGGGCGGCCGGAGGGAGCGCAAGTAGGTCTTCTTGCAAGGATGGCCTGGTATGGGCGGCGTCGATTATGTGGTTTTTTTGGGATTTTTTTTTCCGTTTGATTGTATAGTTTTCGTTGGGATTTCTTTTGTTGGCTGTAACTTTTTGGTAATGCATGTTACTAGAACACTCCTCGGCAAGGTCGACCTGATATCTACCATGTTACTCAAATGCGGGCCCCGGTTCGATGAACCCCGTCGTACGGTGTCGACATAGTGCGTCTGGCTGTATGCATGTATATACTCGGCGATGAGCATCGTCGGCTAGGCCGAGATGGTCTATGGTCGGCGCTTTGGGGAATGTGCCGCGCCGCCCAGGTGGCCGAAACTCTAGGAGGTCGGCATCGATGTGCCGTTTGACGCGCATATCGAGCGGGCATGGACAGCACGGATGCGTAGTCGGCGCGCGGAAGGAGCGCTAGGTGGTATGATTGCTCGGTTATAGCGTGATGGGCGCCGTTTGCGCCGTTTGCATGCAGTCAGCGATGTCGACATGAATAAGGCACAATGAATTGCACACACATGGTGGCGACTATGTCGGAGTCCGACATATCTGGTTCGGATGTATGTGTTGGATCTTGTATGTTCGTGTTGCATCAAAATGAACAAGTACGATGGGAACACAACGGTTTGCTAAATTAACGTATCATCAACCTACGCTAACACATATACACCGAGGATCTTCATGCCGACTTCTGGCGCTTTGACGGAGGACGCTGCGCAGGTGCGGTCTGCTTGGCCAAGTCGGCCACGGTCTTCGGCATCTGCTCCTCCCAGGTGTCTGGAAACAGGCGGTCGACCCACGTCGTCGGCTTCAGCTCGAGCGCCACCAGCGCACAGGCGAGGCGTAGCTTCGAGACCACCTTGGGGCCAAGCCCCTTGACGCCCATGCCAGGCTCCTTGGACATCGTCGGTGCTGTCACCGGGTTGAGCACCGTGAGGGCATCGCAGAAGGTACCAATGCCCGGTGCCGCGATCTTGTTCAGTGCATCGACCACGGCTTCGGTGTCGGCATCGCCGTCGCTCGCGCGTAGCTGGCGCACCGCATCCATGGCCTTCAGCATGCGGCGCACCCTCATGTTGAGTGCACCCTGGGTCGCGCCTTTGAGGAGGGTGTGGCGGTCGATGAACCCCGGCTCGGCGACCCTGTCGCAAAGACGACGGGTGTCATTGGCGGTGGCGGAGTTCCAGAGGCGCCAAGCGTCCCGCACGGTCTTTGAATCCCGCCAAGGTTGCACGACGTTGAGCTCGTAACTGGCCTCCTCTGCCGTCTGGGGGGGTGGCGGGGGTTTCCCATCATCTCTCTTGGCTCCGGTCCCCGTGTTGGCCGAATCCGCGGAGCCACCTTCGCCCGGAGTTTGATCGGTAGCCGACGTCGGCGCCGCCGGCATCCTCCGGGCTTCTGACACACGGAGTGCCTCAGTGAGTCGAGCAAGCTCGGTGGTGAGCGACGCGATGGTGTCGTTTTGCTTCTCGATCGTCTCCTGAAAGCCTAGCTTCTCGAGCGCCGAGCGCTCGACCTCCTTCTTCAGCGCCTCCTTGAGGGACATGTTGTGATACTGTGTGTCCATGCGCACGGATATTTCCTGCAATGTTGGGTGTGCGGAAAGGCGACAAGAGGTTAGAATTCACCGGCTAAAATCCAACAACGCCGACATGGTCGGCAACTCACCTCCGGTTGTATCTGAGTCGGGTCCCGGCGCTTTTTGATCGTATCGGTGTCGACCGACTCGACCCTTTTCGCCCAGTGCTGGAAGAGGGCAATCCTGCAGAGCTTGGAACCTTGGACGTACGGGTGCCACGGTGTGCGGACGAGCTTCACCGCGAGGTCCTCGGCGACGATTCGTCGGAACATCACGAGGGTGCGCAAGAAGTGCACTGCGGCTGCAGCGGCGTCGCTCCCGTTGACGGCACGCGTCTCCGCCTGCAAGTCGGAAAGTGGCGTGGGTTAGTAGGGAGTTGGGCAGCCAACTAGGCCACGACGACTGAAATACATTGTCGGCGTCGCGTGACATACATCGCGCAGCATAGCATCCACGCCGGGGAAGATGTGCTCGGCGAGCAGGTCCAGGAGTTTGTCGGAGGGCTCGACCCTGCTGCGCCCCAAGAAGTAGTCTTGCTTGAGTCCCGAGTAGCCGGCCTTCTGCATCACCACCCCAACGGGAATGGCCGTGATGTACGCACGCGTCATCTTGTCGAGAGCCCAGTGTCCCAGCTCGGCGATCTGGGCGCGCGGCGTCCCTCCGATGGCTAACTCCTGCGCACCTCCGGCGCGGGCGGCGTGCACGTTCCTTTTGCAGAACACCTTGTTGGTCGTCCACACCTGCCGAGTCCAACGTTGGTGGGTGGCGGAGGAGAGCTCCTCCTGCTCCTTGTCGTTTCTGGCGAAGAAGAGATGCTTCTTGTACCAGCGTTCGCGTTCTGTGATGTCAAGCGGCGAAAGAAAGTCGGTGCCGGAGAACTGACCGATCTGGTCGAGGATGAAGTGCAGCCACAGGCCGGTCTCGCCGACGGCGCACAGCTCCGCTTCCAGGTGTCGCGCAGCGTAGCTCTGCTGAAGACGGGCATCCTTGGAAGTCTTCGAGTTACGCGCGGCGATCACCATGACGACCGGCTGGCTATCCGGGTTCACCTCCGAGGTGCTCGCCAGGTGGTACAAGAAGATGTCGGGGAGCGTGATCTCGCGGATGCTGCCGCCGCGCAGGAGAGTGTGGTGGGAGAGTAGCGTGAGCACCTTGATGAGCAGGAATCGCCACAGCGTCTGCGACGGAGTGGTAGCCCGCGGGTTCCACGCCGCCGCCGCCCATGTCGGCAGCACCCTCATCATGATCTGGCGGAACTGCTCGGCGGTGTAGGTATCGCCGATGGTGCCGCGTCGACGGTCGGCGCAGTTCCTGAACGCAAATCGGCGGGGAAAATCTGTTAGACAGCGTCGACTTCACAGTGCACAGTGATATATAATAAGGTTGTCGACCAACTTACTTGAGGTCCCTCTCGTTCTTGTGGCGGACGTTGAACCGCACCTCCGATCTCACCACCGAGATCTCCCTCATGAGGCCCAGCTCCTTCTCTCGGTACAAGCGTCGCCTCCACCCTCGCCGCCATCTGGCATGCCTTTATCCGGCCGAGGATCGTGTGCACAGTTGTCGACCTCACAGGCCCCGTTCGCGTGGCATTGTTCTCCTCCCCGGGCTGGTCAACAATGAGGTTACACTCACGGCTCATTTGCTTCACGTAGGCGCGCAGCCGGGTTTCGGTGACCCTAGGGCCGTGCAGCCAGATGTACTGTCGGCGGACCACTTTCTCGTTGCACCAATCCTCTTTCTTGTTGTCGCGGATGTAGTGGTCGATCTCGTCGACGTGCCTAAGTCGTTGCTCATGGGGTAGCTTGTCGCGTAGCTGCTTCAGCATCTTCGCCGCCCACTTCTTGTAGTGGTAGATGAACGCGGTGTACAGCCTGAGCGTGCTATTCTTCTCCAAGCATTGTAGGTGTCGTAGGGCGTCCATTATGAGCACGTCAATGCTGGAGTACACCATGTCGTCCACTACAAAGTCCGTCGCCTTCCACCCTTCGCGCGGCACCGCCATGTGCTGATCGTCCTCCTTCTCGTCCGCGTCGAGCATGTCACGTATGTATTCAAATTCCCGCCTAAGGCGTTCTTCCAAGGTGCGCGGATTCGTGCTACGCGGAGGACGGTCGTCGACTTCGTCGTCGCTCTCTTCCTCGTCCTCCTCGTCGTTATCACCTTGGTTTTCCGAGCCGGCGGGCACCGACGAAGGTCCAGTCTGCCCATCTGCCGTCGGTGTCGACTTCTTCGTAAACTCCCCAATTGGCGGATTCGGTATGTCCTTGGTGTACTCCCCTTCGGGAATCTGAGTAAGTTTGTCAAGATCGTAAAGCAACTTCAGCGTCTCTACGGGGGCAGAGGACGGACTGTGGTCGGTTGGGGTACCAACGTCGGGCATGTCGACGTCGTCCATGACCGCTCGTATGCTCTACCGCCGGCCGTGGAAGAGGGAAAGATTGGTCAACCAGAGATGGTACTGATTCACGGGTGCGGTGTACGCCCTAATCGTCCTGCGGCTGTCTTCCTCGAATTCCCTCTCAAGTGCTTCTAACTCAGCGTCGACCTCGAGTCGTTCCAGTTGCGCTTTGATGTCGTCGTCTACCGAATCGGCGGGGGGTGGGATAAGTTGTTGTGGCTGTTGGGCACTAGCCCTTCCTCTGGCCATGCGTCGCCGACTCGGTAAGGTTGGGAGATGCTATCGTCGCCCTGATCTATCGTCGCCGACTTTCCTAGATGACGACCTAGAACCTAGTAAGGCGAAGTCGACGATGGTCGACCCCAACACCGACCTATGGCAGTCTATTCCAGGTCGTCGCCTTTGTGCCGCCGCTCGGTCGACTCGGCCGTCGAGTAACCTACACCCGCAGAGATAGCGAGGGTCCTGTGTAGAAAACGAAGTGCTAGATGGCGCACAGGAGCATGAGAGAAACACGAAGCTGAACCGGCAGAATGAGAGGGTTGTGCGTGGTCAAGGAGGGGTATGGTTGCGAGCCACTGCGCACCTGCCGCGCTCCACGCAGCCCTCTTTGCAAGCGCCGCTGTGCACGTGCATGACGTGTCACGATCGATGCATGTCTAGTGTCACGCCGCTCTGCGCTCAACGGCACTCCCGCCGGTGCCTTGCCACGGTGGAATTCACGTGCGCCACGTGCAATAGGCCAATGACCTAGTTCCACTCTCCCGAAATGCCGTAGCGTCCTGCTCTCCCGCGCAAGCCTCATCGACCTGCGAGTAGGCGCGTGGCCGGAGGCTTGGTCGACGCCGACATTCCCTGACTCTGGGGCTCTCTTCGCCGAGGTATACCATCCCAGTCGTCTTTCGCCGCGTGGACGATGGTTACCTTTTTCGTCGGCGCGCCAGGTTTCGCGCGCAGCGAAATATACCCGGTGGTGCGAAGCGGGGCCACGTCGGCGCCGTCGTGGCACCTCCCGATTGTCAGGGTCGATCTCGGCCGTCCCTACTAAGCCACGTGGCAGTAACCGCGGCTCGGCGCACAACGTGTCGAGCTGTGGTTCAGGGTCCGCTGAGGTATCCTTCTAGAATGTGCGCGCCCTTCGATTTCAGCTCCGCCGAAAGTATTCCCCCCCCGCCGAAACCGCTCCCGCCCAGCGCTTGATACATTGAATAATCCGTCGGAACAATTCATTGATTCACGCTTCTCGGCTCGTTCATGTGTAGGAATAGGAACAGATTCAGAGAGCTTCTGGGACTCATAGATTTCGCGATTTCGTCTCAGAATTAATCCTTCTCGTTTGTGTAATCCTCGACGTCCGACATGAGCTCCTCCGGAGGTCCGTCGGGACCTTCAGCGACAACGGCTGGCGGTTCAAGCCAGGCGTCCGAGCAGCAACCGGTAGCCGGCCCCAGCAACACGGCTCTCGTTCCCGCTGCTGCCGCTGCTGCTCCGGACGTTCAGCCGATGGAGATGATTGGCCGGCCCATGAACGCCAAGTACGGCACGCTGGGCCGGCCGGTGAAGGTTCTGGTGAATTTCTTCAAGGTGGATCTGCGCATCCCCTCCGCGCCTCTCGTCCACTACGATGTGAGTAACACTTCGCTTGCAGCATCTCGTCGTCCACTCATTTTTTGTTTTTTTTGGGCAGTTACTGTCGCATGAATTTGGTATTTTCCATGCCTCCTTCATGACTGCCAGCGGCCGCTGAGACAGTGACTTTGAGGTAACGAGAAGAACCACTTGGAGCAGCCTATTCTGAGTTGCATCCTTGATTCGTGGCGTCGTTTCTCCATGTTCTCCATTTTCTGTTTTTGTCCCCTTTTTGCCTTTCCCTTTTCTGTCTCGCTCCCATCTCAGTTCCGAATTTCCGTAGCCCTTGTGCTGTTGTATTGCTGCTCTCCCAGTTCTCTATCACCAGGCACATTTTCAAAGGAATTTCTTTAACATTTTGTACAACGATTGATGATGCAAAACATGCCGCATCTACTCTCTCCCCGCCCACCTCCTTCCTCTTCCCACATCCCTTCCCCACCCACCTTCCTTCATCTTCCCCCTTCTCCCCCCACCTTCTGCCCGCCTTCCCCCTTCGACCAACCTACCTACCCCCTTCCCCTCCCCTCCCCGACCGCAGGTGTGCTTCTCCTAGGATGTGTGCAGCATGGTGGTGCGCCGAGCCATGTGCGACCAGCACCTGGCGGCCTTCCTCCAGGACAATCTCCCCTTGCTGGCAACGACTCCCTCCCGCTCGCCCACTCTCCCCCCTCTGTCCCCCCTCTCCCCCCCACCTCCCCCCTTGTGCTCCACACAACAGGTGCGGTTTTCTAAGGATGTGCGCAGCATAGTAGTGCGGCGAGCCATGATGAAAGCCATGTACCAGCAGCACCCGGCGGCCTTCCCTCAGGACGCTTTTCCCTTCTCCTCCCGCTCCCCCTCTCCCCCCGCCTCCCCCTCTCCCCCCCGCCATGTGCGCAGCATGGTGGTGCGCCGAGCAATGATGAAGGCCATTTACGATCAGCACCCGGCGGCCTTCCCCCAAGACACTCTCCCCCTGCTGTCTCAACGACTCTCATCACCTCTCTCAGGCTCTCCCCCCGCCTCCCCTCTCCCCCTCCTTCCCCCTTACAGATGCGCTTCTCCAAGGATGTGCGCAGCATGGTAGTGCGACGTGCAGTGATGAAGGCCATGTACGATCAGCACCCGGCGGCCTTCCCTCAGGACACGCTCCCGCAGCTCGCTACGACTCTCCTCTTCCTCCCCCTATTTCTCTCCCCCCTCCCCCCCCGCCTCCCCCGTTTCCCCCACTTCCATTCGCCCGCACCACAGGTGCGCTTCTCCAAAGATGTGCGCAGCACGGTGGTGCGGCGAGCAATGATGAAGGCCATGTACCAGCAGCACCCGGCGGCCTTCCCCCAGGACACTCTCCCCCTGCTGGCATACGACGGCAATAACGCCCTCTTTGCCCTGCGCGCGCTCAAGATCCAGTCGCCACAGACGTTCCCTATCAAGATTATGGACGAGCGGTGAGTGCTGCTGTGTGATGCGCGCGCACGCGCACGTGCGTGCGTGCATGCGTGCGTGTGCGTGCGTGCGCGTGCGTGCGCGTGTGTGTGTGTGTGTGTGTGTGTGTGTGTGTGTGTGTGTGTGTGTGTGTGAGAGAGAGAGAGAGAGAGAGAGAGAGAGAGAGAGAGAGAATTATCGCTACTTCATCCCTGTTCCCTCCTCCCCCCTCCCGGTGCGTGAAGCGATGACGGAAAGCAATGACGCGGAGCGATGATGGGAGCGATGATGGGAGCGATGACAGGAGCGATGACGGGGAGCGATGACGGGGAGCGATGACGGGGAGCGATGACGGGGAGCGATGATGGGAGCGATGACGGGGAGCGATGACGGGGAGCGATGACGGGGAGCGATGACGGGGAGCGATGACGGGGAGCGATGACGGGGAGCGATGACGGGGAGCGATGACGGGGAGCGATGACGGGGAGCGATGATGGGGGGGAGGTTGCACCAATTCTAAGGTTGACTAAGAGAATATGTCTCTCTTTTCCTTCCCCCAATCCTTCCCCCTCCCCACTCCCCCTCCTTCTGTGCGATTCACTCTGCAGACCCACGCCAGCAGCGTGAAACGATGATGGGGGAGGCGGTGAGTCGACTTATAATCTGTACCCTCCTTCCCTCCCTCCCCTTTGCTGCTTGCCATGCGCTGCTCAGACCCACGCCAGCAGCGCGAGGCGACGATGGGGAGGCGGCACTGAAGAGGCCGCGCAAGGAAGATTCGAGGCCTCCGCGAATCAAGGACGAGCTGGATATCATCCTCACACAGGTGGGTGGGTAGGCGTCTACCCACATGCTCTGCGCTCCGCTTACCAGCCTTTGACGGGTGGGTTTTGAGGCGCATCAAACGCCTGAGGTGACACTGGGGAGGTGCGCAACGAAGAGTCGAGGCCACCGCGAATCAAGGATGAGCTGGATATCACCCTCACGCAGGTAGGTGGGTGGGTGGGTGGTTGAGTGGGTGGGTGCGTGAGTGGGTGGGTGGGTGGGTGGGTGGGTGCGTGAGTGGGTGGGTGGGTGGGTGGGTGGGTGCCTGTCTGCCATCAGTCTGGTTATCAGCTTTGTTAGAAGTTTTTTTCCAGGCGCCTGATGCAGGTGGGTGTGTGTCTGATGGCCATGTCACACCATCATCCCATCGTTTACCTCTAGTCCCGTAACCCGTCCGTTGCTCCCAACTCACTCCCATCCCCATCCCTCTCCCCCCCACACACACAGATGGTGGAGGTATCCTTTTCAGGCATCGAAACCACCATCATGCCAGCAGCCACCTTTGGTCCTCAGGACCCTCAGAATGTCTTCGCCCCTCAGGCCCTCCCAGCCCTTGTTCCATTCTTCCCCATGCACTTGTCTATTACCACCCAACCCCCTCTCTCCACCCCCACACCCCCCACACACAGGTGGCGGAGGTATCTCTCTCCGACATCAAGGCCGCTATCACCCCGGCTGGCACCACTGCTCCTGTCCTGTCGTTGCCCCGGATGCTCCCCAAGCCCTCACACCCTTACCTCCCC